GAATCATTTTTCTGGCCCGAACTACGAAATGGAAGTGATTTTTGTTATTACTGGGAAAGTTGGACGAGCGAATTTGTATCAGGTGTCGCGTGCAGGTCGTGGATGTAAGAACGGTGAAGAATGCTTGTTTTAACCTTATTCTATAGTGAGTTATAGCCATTTCATGTTAGGCTAATTCTTGAGAAAGGAACGAGATAGGAGAATGATAAAGTGTTCGAACATTACGCTGAATGGATATACGGTGGTTGGAAAAATGGCCATTTTGGGTATAGTTATCGCGAAGATAAGTAGGTCTGGATTATTGGAGTATAAAAATAAGTGTAAATTGCGTTCATGCCACCTTTGTCTGTTTTTAATGCAGATTTTATGAGTTATACAGCGAAGTGTATAACGAGGATAATAATGTATGTGTGTCTCTGCAGGAGGATTGCAGGCAGAGGATAGTGTCATAAAATGGGATTAAATGGTCTCAGGATCTGACGTTGTTCCTATATTAGCTTAATTTAGTTTGCAGTGACCAACAGTGGGAATCTGGTAATTTTGAGTTCTTCTAATCAGTTTATATCCTATTAAATTTTGCTCCCAGTTTAGATAATTTTCTCCTTTAATTATTGCAATATAACTTTTATTTTAATATTCGACAAATTAATAGTTTTTAATAATATTTGTCTGTTGAAAAAATTAATATAAATCCTCTGAAATTGTTTAAATTATTTTATACCGATATTCGCATTAAACAATACACAATTTTGAACTAATACTACAGCATAAAATATATTCTTTGTAATACTTGTTTTCAATCTTGATGAAAACAAAAATTAATTGAAATTAATTTAATTTCGTTCAATTAATTGATTAAAAAATTTAGACATCTCTATGTTAAATATTTCGTATATTATCTTCTTTCAAATTTTAGAGTAGTACATTATCATTTACTATTACAATATACAGTGTCTTATCATTTACTATTATAATATATAGTATCTTTTCATTTCCTATTACACCATTACAAATTTTGGATGACAATTGCAGATGTTTCTTGTAAAAGCTTTTGGCAAAATCCCTCTAATATAATCCACGTGTCTATATATGTGTGAAATGGGTGTATGTATAGCATACATGAGGCTAAATCAATGAGAGTGTCCCTACTCAAGACTTCAATTCACGAAGACACGATGTCAGTTCCATACAGGGTAAAAACGATCTGTTCCATTGATAACTTTGGAAGCTAATCTGTGACACAATGTAGAATGAAATTTAGGAGTACATACTATATTCCGTTTCTTCGATTTTGGAAATGTATTCTGTTGAGAGAGCAATGGTAGACTTGTTGCAGAAAAATATTATTCTTTGAGTGTTTTACGTCATTTTCAGGAGAAATTTGAAACATGACTTTGAAAAATAATTTCTAGGTTTGTTTCCATTATTTTTATACCCACATATTATTGATTTTTTAGTATTATATCATGCTTGATGGTATACCCAAAAATGTGTAAGTCGAATACAAGTAGTTCAGCTTTAAAAGTGTTGGTGAGAGTATTCTAGTAAATCAGAAACCTAGTAAGGAGGGAAAGTGAAAATGATGCGTGTTTTTCAAAAATAGTACAGTGGATATTATAGTGAACACTGTGCTGGGTAACGACACTATGGTTTATGGCTGCCGGTTGATTCCTTTGTTGGTTCGAGAGGGAAGAAAATGAAAAGCATCGTTATGTACTACAACCAGGCTTCATTCACAAAGAGTATGCAATGTGATGAGCATTTGTGTCAAGTAAATACAGCTTCGTTGCAAAGGGAACGATATTTTTGATATTACCTTTCTTCCACTCACATACGAAATTTCTTCAATCTTTTTAAATTTTGTTGTAACTAAATGATTTTTCTATTTTCCTAAATTTCTTTGTGGTCTTCCTTTCATATTGTTCTACTTTTGTGAAATTTATTTAATTTTAAATTTAATTTTAAAGAAACAGATAGATAAAGTACGAATTAGTATTGTTTCTTTTATTACTTTAAACCAGGTGTAATTTAACTGTTAATTAATTAATTATTTCACGTGAATTTGCCATTATTAACTATTACTATGTAAATTAATGTTATATTCATATTCACCAAACACAAATTTGTTAAATAATTTTTTATCATGTTAAATTATTTATAACATACTATAAATATATTAAACAAATGTTAATTATTAATTAAATTTAATAATAAATTTTAATAACAAATTTTAAATAATAAATTAAATTTAAATTTGTAATTATATATAACAACATCAAATTTTAATAATAATTTTTCAATATTCCTACAATAATAGGAATAATAAAACTCTCGTCTTAAAAATCTCTGCTACATTTTACTAAAAGAAATAATACATAAAGGAAATATATATATATAACAACATAAAATTTTAATAATAATTTTTCAATATTCCTACAATAATAGGAATAATAAAACCCTCGTCTTAAAAATCTCCGCTGCATTTTACTAAAAGAAATATATGTATAAAACCAAAATTTTTATTCATCTCGCAAAATCATCCTTCCCATAATTACAAATTTTAATACAGAAACTCGCAGCTAACATTTCACCCCCCAATTATTAAAATTCAATTCAAACTTTGTTCCTTCGATCAACCAAAATTTTCCTCGTTCCAACAAAAATTTGTCGCTGAACGTTTAATCACCCAACGCAATTATTTATCGAACAATTTCTCCGCGAATAATTCGAGCAAAAATTGCATCGACCAGGAAATCGTTAGAAATCGTCTTTGGTCGATCAAGAACAGCGCCTAAACACATGGAAAAAGTACAAAAGGCTGCCTTTTGACACCGTCTTCCCGAGGCATTGTCTTCCATAGACGGCCACGTATCCAAGAGTTCCCTTTTGTCGTGGCAGAATAGGAGTACAATGAAGCGATAATAGGTCGGACTTGCGGACCGCTTCTCCGTTGATATCATAGCTCACCGAGTCTACGGAATTTCTTGGAGCTATTGTTCCCTAAAACTAATAGATCGTCTGCCGAGGGTGGCGGCAATTTCGAAATCGGATAATCAGGATGCTCTTGTAACACGATAAACACGCGTGTACGATTTCATTAAGACAGACTGCACAGCTCGTAATGGTATCGTTTCAGGTAGAACTTCTGCATCTATGCGAGTATCTAGCCCGATAGTTTCGTTCCAGTTGTGAATTTCCAACTAGTTTCCTTTACCAGAGTTCTGCCTTATGATAGAGAACGATAGTAGCCATAATCAATAGACGACGTTCCGTATATACTCTATCAGTGGCATGAATTTGGGTAGATTAGCTCTTTGATTAGCCCTTCATTGGGGATCATCTTTGGCAGTCTGGATCGGGTGATTCGTAATTCCGGTATTAAAATAAAATTTCGAATTAATTACGGGAATTACGATGTTATATCGAATCGAGAAGATCGAAGTATTAAAATAATTTTTGAAATTACAATGAAATTCGAGATATTAATTTTCGAAACGATTTATTAATTTAATTTATTAATTTTCGAAGTCTTGGAACCCATCGAAGTATAAGGAAGTTTTGAATTCTCGAAATTTCTAGAACCAAATAACAAGGAAAGTAAAATACGAATTTGATGAATACTGGAGGAAAAATGTATCATCACTAATGATGTCCATCGAGAGATTTTTCACTTTGGCAGTCTGGATCGGGTGATTCGTAATTGCGATATTAAAATAATTTTTGAAATTACAATGAAATTCGAGATATTAATTTCCGAAACGATTTATTAATTTAATTTATTAATTTTCGAAATCCTGGGATCCAACGAAGTGTGAAGAAGTTTCGAATTCTCGAAATTTTTAGAAGCCAAATAAAGAGGAAAATAAAATACGAATTTGATGAATAATGGTGTAAAAATGTATCATTACTAATGGTACTCATCGAGAGCCTTTTTAATATATCCAGTACTCTAATAGATCAGTGTGACAAGGGGTTCGAATATTAATACTCTTGAACAAGAATTTGAATCATGTTTTGTTTAACTATATGGGGTTTATGGGTTCTAATAGTAAAATAACTACGATATACAGTGCTGAACAAAAATATTGGCACAGCTTGGTCATTGTGGTACAAGTTATAAGATAACTACTAAACAAATTGATTTGAAGGAAGAACTTTTTGACATATTCATTTATTATCTATTTTAGTTTTATTACATAGTAGAAGCAATAATATAAATACATTGATTCACGAAACAATAACGAAAATATATTTATTGAACATTTTATGGGTGGATAAATGTAGTATAGGGTTATAATAATTAGAGTTCGCCTAAACACCCAATTCTTATCGAATATTTATATAAACATTCGTTCTAGGAATTTATATCTTCTAAACTATTTATTCGTATCTTATCTTCTAGATTGATTTTTGTCTATAAAATAAACTTATCTTTTCGACAAACTATTAATTAAACTTCGTATTTTTAATTCAATTAACTAATTTCGACTTATATTTAAAATTTTGAAGATTCCAAAAATTCCCATTTGAAAACTTCTATAATTTCAAAATCACCAACAATTCTAAATCTACCTTGCAACCTAGGCCCACAAGGAATGCAATACAATCCCAACAACTAGGAATTTATATCTTCTAAATTATTTATTCACATCTTATCTCCTAAATTGATTTTTGTCCACAAACTAAATTTATCTTTTTGACAAACTATTAATGAAACTTCGTATTTTCAATTCAATTAATTAATTTCAATTTATATTTAAACACCCTGTATTTAAAATTTCGAAGATTCCAAAAATTCCCATTTGAAAACTTGTATAATTCCAAAGTCTCCAATAATTTTAAATCTACCTTGCCTACAAGCTTGCCCAAGCCCCAGAAAGAATCCAATACAATCCCAACAACTTAAAAAATATATATAAAGCAAAAATTAATACCTCCATACTTTGTACCTTTCCTAAGAAACATTACCGGATCTCTAACCATACCTCTAATCTTTCCAGGTAATCTCCGAGTACTGCCGCACTCGCCTGCAGTCGAAGCCTTTCACTCACATCGTGATGGACATGTACCGCGAGGTGGTCAAGTCTCCTCAGTTCGCAGCTCGCAAACGGATCACGTACCAGCACCTAAACCCACCACCTCCCTTGCGAACCCCTTCAGACCTGGCGGAACACAATCGTCGTCAGACCAGCTACCCCCATCACCATCACCACCAGCAGCAGCTACAGCATCAGCCAGACCCTCTGCAATCCATGCACAACCAGGCCAAAGGTGTTCACCAGCGTCAGGATCGTCAGTACCACTCGACCAACCAGTACAATCCACCTAGACCCAATCAGCAACGCTCGCCAGCTCGTTATCAGCCTCACCAGCACCTGCAGCAGCTCCAGGAGGCACCTCAACAGCCTCAAGTACCCAAGGTCCATCATTATCACCATCACCATCCCGCAAAAGGCGCCCTGTTCAAGCTCCAGTCGCGAAATTCCCACTCTCATCCTAACCTGACGAGTCTCTGTGGCCAGCAATCGCAACAAACCCGACGTCACGAAGTGGACGAGCGCAGGGGTCAGTTCCAGTCGCAGCTGAACGTCCAGGCGAGCGGACGTCCAGTTGGACCCGCTATCCAGCACCAGCGTCGACATCATCACTCCAGGACCTACTCGCAGCCGATCTACACGAGGCTGCAGCACACCAGGAGCAGTGGCAACCTGCCATCCACGATCGTTGGTGAAAGCAACCCCGGAGGGAACGTTTACAGCGACCCCATTTACGCCCTGCCCGTGAAGCCTTTTCTCAGCTCTCAAGACGTCAGAGTAAACGGCCTGTCCGTGAAGCCACCTGTCGGACATCGGAACGAGGACGTGTACGCTGGCACCACGATAGCCAGGTAGCATATCCTACTTTTGATCACCTGGATGTATCATATTTGCATTTTCTTTTCACGGATCTTGTGATTTTGGATTATTGTTTTGGGAGATATAGCGTAGACGTTGCTTTGTTGGTGAATGAAAAGTTGGGATACGGGATTCTCCAGTAGGGTCTAGGCTTTTGTGTTAAATGCAGATTGAGATTTTGAGAGTTGAATCACTCACTTGTTCTCTGTAGCCCTAGTTAATAGATGAAGAGAGAAATAAGGATTCCTTATTAAGAAGAATGATAGATATCGTGTTGAATCTAGGTCTAAGTTTTAGTAATTCAATATTTGGTCTCATTTGGAAAATTAAAGGCAAGTTGTTCAAAAATAGGTTAATATTTTGATAACTGGTCACTTGGTCTGATTTAATTGTTGAATGAAACGATTATCGTGGGATAAGATAAAATACTTGTAAAGAATCTAGGCTATTGTGTTGAACATAGGTTGAGATTTTAATACTGTTGAATAAAGTTTGGTGTTTTCAGAATTGAACACTTGGTTGTGATCATTTTCTAACTCCACGATTATGGTGTTCACAATGAACTGATGTTTGGAACTTCATTGTGGAGGTAGAAAATTATCACAACTAAGTGTTGTGAGTAAGTTCAATAATTTTAATAAATGGACTATATATTTCTTATCTGTTAGTAATTACAAACAAACAAAGGAAAAGAGCTTTGATACACGTTTTCTTCCACGTTCTAGCACCTTCTATCTAATCTCTTCTTCCCACTCGTACTCACACGCATCTATATTTTACTTCCCAAAGAAATTCACACTATCGATAATTCACGGTCCCATTTCCACCAACAGGTTGGTCCTATGTAACGAATGAAGAATGGGATGAAAATTCGTTATTCATTAGAATCTAGACCAGTATACCAGACACCGGTAGAAATTCTAATAATTGAACAGTCCATTCATCCCAATTGCTAAATAAAATTATTCCTCAGAGAAATCTAGCTTCACTTCTTCATTTAATTCTCCGTAAAATCAAAATTTCCGATCAAAGTGACACCAATTTTATAAAGATGACATTTTGTCTTCACTAAACAACATTTTAAATTCCGCGATTTTTACCAATTTCTCCTTGCAAAAATTGTCAGCCTTCCAAAGTGAAATTCTCTCAAGAGCAACACTTCGACCCAAGCTCTTCACACGTTTGCACCATCCTTAACGCTAACAAGAGATATGCCTCGTCTGTGACAATTTATTTTGACAAGGAATACTAGAGGATCGGAAGGAATATTGAAATTTGAACGTAAATTGTGAAACAGGCGACCGTCAGCAGCCGGATATTCTCATCCAGACATAGCGACGTCGACTGAACGTGCACGAGAGGAGGTTTACGGCAGATCCACGGGACGAGCGAATCCGACGTTGCAGAGGCAACATTCAAATCCTCAGCTTCCTAGCAGGGATCAGCGCGAGGGTGATTTCGAGCGGGTGCCGGAACAGAGCGTGACAACGAGCGATCACAGATGTCCGGCTGGCAGAGGGAAGGAGGAACAGACAGCGCAACAACAAAATCCAGTGTCTTCCATGAGAGTGAGAAGTGTCCAGGGGCCACCCAAGCCACCACGAATAATCACCACGCTGAAGAAGGCGCCATTTTCCGACGTGGAAAGCAGCAAATCGGAGCCGCCAGCGAAACCGCCCAGGTAAATTTCTTATTCGGTCATTCTTCGATTTTGTGAACAGAGTTAATTAGGGTATCAGAATTTAAAATATTTTGAATTGTCAAAATTCGGAGTTATAGGTGTCTTGAAATATTGAAATTTGGAATTTTTAGTATTTTAAAATTTTGAAATTTAGAATTTTAGGTATTTCGAAAAATTGTAACATGAAATTTTAGGTATTTTGAAATATTGAAATTTAGAATTTTACGTATTACCAAAGAATAAAACATGAAATTGTACTATTTTGAAATATTGAAATTCGGAATTTTACGTATTTTGAAATATTGAAATTTGGAATTTTCAGTACTTTAAAATATTGAAATTTAGAATTTTAGGTATTCCCAAATATCAAAACATGAAATTTTACGTATTTTGAAATATTGGAATTTAGAGTTTTCAGTATCTTAAAATATTGAAATTTGAAATTTTTAATATTTTAAAATATTGGAATTTGAAATTTTACATACTTTAAAATACTGCAATCAAAATTGAAAAAAATGATACAATAAAAAAGAATATAATTTAATCTTGATTACACAGTAAATTTGTACATTAATGTACCTAAATTTTTAAGCGACAGATTACTTTTTCATCTCTGCCGCAATGAAACTGGAACATACGATTTAAAAATTTCATGAAATAAAGACATTGATGAATTGTACATTTCGATCACTTTTAATACAATAGTTATTCTCATACGAGAATAATTTTCAGATACATAATATCGTGACTACAATTTCTTTTAATTTCCTCTTTTCTCTCGGCGATACAATAATTTCACTGTTCCATATCCCGTCGAAAATAGAAAATCGATGTGTTATTAATCAAACTTCCGATAGCAGTTAAACGTGTGTAAAATGAAGTGTCTCGTACAGATTCTCGATAAATTTCTGGCATTTTATGAATTTTTCAGAATGCATTTACGAACGCTTCTTAATAAACATTCACATATGCTAATTTAAAAACTGATCTCTCATAATTAATTACGAAATTATATTCGTAATATTTTTAATATTTTTATTTCAATTTAAGGGTGTAAACCATTCAGTAGAATATTACGAATTGAACTACCGAAAAACTAGAGTCTGGCACGAGAAGCTCCATAGCCCGAATTACATTGTTTCGAAAGCTGCTTTCCAGGCAGCTGGGTAAGTTATGGTTTCCGCGAAATAATCCTTTAATTGTCTATATTTCTTATTTTTCTTATTAAACAACGCATATATGCGTCCATCGTCCCTGCTGGTGACTTTCACCAGACGCATATATGCGTCCATAGCGTTCTAAGGGTTAAACACCCTGTATATCATTTACGTATAATTTCATATACCGTATATACTTACTACGTACATAATTAGCTGCCTGTACTCAATTCCCCACATCGATAACCCTCACAATCACACCACGCATTATAAACGAAGAATCATCCCGACTCCTTCACGAGCCAGCCCTCTAGAAATAAAGGGTAGGAACGATTAAATACCACAAAAGGTGTATTCACAAAATCCTACGAAACCTGGAACTATCAAACAAAAACTCGCACCCGCCCCGTCTCCAGCCATTCTCCGCGGAACAAACCCTCAGCATCCACAACCCTCCACTTCCACGCCAGCCTGCTCCTCGATTTTGTTTTGGACTCGAGCCACGCCACGTTCAAAAGCTCGCAAGGAAAACAAGGGTAGCGGAGGTTAATCGCGAATCGAGCAGGCTACATCGAAATTTCCAACAGCCGCCAACGCGTTGGAATTTCATCAATCTCCGAAGATTGTTAAGGGTCGAGAAAAAGTTCATCTTCGAGAATTTTTATCAAAGGAATTATAAGAACCCTGGATAGGAGAGTTCAGCTGTCTCTTTTATTCGAGCTTGCAGAGTGTAGATAAATATTTACAGTTGGAGGAATGGAAATTTTTGAATTTATAATGTGATATTCAGAGGGTGGTTTCAGAAATATACAATTAGGGACAGAAAATAGTATAGGTTGTAGGTTGGAGTGCTTTTTGGAACTAATGTGATGTATGCATATGTTATATATGTACATAGATGAGTTTTTCACGAAAAATTTATGTAGATAATATGGTGCAATAATATTACAGAGGCAGTAAGAAGAAAATTCAGTGATTTTATCAGTAAAATAAGAAAATAATTTAAGGATACACGCAACAGTTGTTGTACCTTTACTGGAGATATGGACCATGGTGGCCCTAGGGAGTTGATATGTAAGAAATTTTCCTATGTTTACAAAATTATTCTAAAGATACTAATATCTTTTCGGTATATATGTCCACTGCTTCGAATAGTGGTATCATTCCCCTGTTGAATTTAGTACAAATCATATTGAAATGATTTTTTTTCTCCGAGATATACCTCTTTGAAGTTACCCGAAAAACACTGAAGAATCCATATATTTTTAATCCGTATACAAAATTATTCTGAAGTCACTAATGCTTTTGCAGAATTTCTCTCAACTGCATCATATAGTACCGGCCTTCCTCTGTAAAGACAAGTTTGAGCCATATTGCAGCTATTTTTCTTCTCTGAGATATATCGTTTTCAAATTACCCGAGAAACACAGAAGAATTCATACACTTCGCTAAGTATACAAAATTATTCTGAAGTCACTAATGCTTCTGCAGAATTTCTCTCAATTGCATCATATAGTAACAGCCTTCCTCTGTAAAGACAAGTTTGAGCCATACTGCAGCTATTTTTTTTCTCTGAGACATACCGCTTTCAAATTACCCGAGAAACACAGAAGAATTCATATACTTCGCTACGTATACAAAATTATTCTGAAGTCATTAATGCTTCTGCAGAATTTCTTTGAACTGCATCCTATAGCACTCGCCTTACTCTGTATAGGCAAGTTTGAGCCATGTTGCTGCGATTTTTTTTTGTCCGAGATATACCTTTTTGAAGTAACCAGCGGGACACCGAAGAATTCATATATTTTTGCTACGTATACAAAATTATTCTGAAGGCACTAATGCATGTATAGAATTTCTCTAAATTGCATCTGATAGCAACGGCCTTCCTCTGTAAAGACTAGTTTGAGCCATATTGCAGCGACCTTTTTCGTCCAAGATATACTGCTTTCAAATTCCCCAAGAGACACTAATGAATCTTAATATTTTTGCTACTTATTTATTTGCAATTTATAAATTTATTCTAAAGACAGTAGTTTTTCACGAGTATTTTTCTGAAGTGCTTTGAATAGTAGTAATCTTTGTCTGTAGTATAAAATTTGAATTATAATCCTGTGACCATTTTCCCACGAAATATACCGTTTTGAAGTTACCCGATAAATATATCAATCGCACAAATTATTACGATTTTGCATTTAATGTCTTCATAACAGCTTCCTACGAATTTATTATCTTCATCTTGCGACATCGCGAATATGATTTGTTGCTTGGACCCTATCCAAGACGCAATTTAGAAGCCACCTGAAAACATAAAATTGTAAATTTGTCGTACGTTCTAATTCGGCTCTTTCGTTGATTTCCACGTTCATGATTTCGCAACGTAGCCAGTTGCGATTTCTCTCGGTGATACCCCTGAATACCCTTTCGAACTTCATCCCATCGAACCGTTCCTTTACGTCGTCATTTCATATAATAAACCATTCAAACTAGTTAACTCATTAATGCGTTTCCTTATCGGGCCATTGGTTTCCGGTAGCAAGAAGCATTCCTTCTTATCCCGCTGCTATTTTACCACCAACAAGCTGCGAAGATCGATTCTGATCTGTCTGAAAGACAGACAAACGTGGCAAACTTGAAAGGGTACGACGTTGTGATTAGAATGGTAACAAAAGGAACGAAAGAGAAAGGTATGCCAAGAAACAATGAACAAAGAAATAATTAGAGACCGAGAGAAAGAGAGAGAAAGAAAAAGAATAGAGAAGGAGGGAGAAAAGAGATGGACAGATAAAAGAGAGACAGAAAACAGAGAGAGAAAAGTGAGGACAGAGGAGTACAAAAGAAAGAGAGAGATAGTTTTATATATTACATATTATGTATATTTAATATTACATATTATGTTATTTAATATTAATATATTTAATATTACATATTCTATTTATTAATATATTTAATATTACATATTATATTATTTAATATTGATATATTTAATATTACATATTATACATATAACAATACATGTAATACATTATCAATGCTGTTTATTTACCTCCAAGTACTGACTCCCCTCTTTACGCATCACATGCTTAAGTAGTGAAGGATATAATATATTCTAATACCAAATCAAAACTAATAATGTTCCAACTTTTCATTTAAGACGATACAACTTTCCTTGTATACAATAACATAAAACCGCTTTTGCATACCACTTAGGTATTAATAGAATGATTATTAATGTTAACAACACTTATCCTACCCTAAATCTATTCAGCCAATCTCTTCAATCTATAAAACAGCTACTACATCGCACCTCTCTGTAAAAAATATTTTTTCTTTCTTATACTTATACACATCTCGTCTGTTTATATATTTGTATATTTTTATTTTTATTTGTTTTCATTAATTTTATACCTCACTGTAATAATTTTCTTCTAATTTTTCTAATGGATTAATCGCTAAATAAATTATATATTATTCATTACATAGAGTATATTATACAGGGTGTCCCACAGAAATTGTAATACAACCGGGAAAGAGATAATTCTGAATGAAAAATCAAATCGAAAATTGAATTTTCTTTATTGAAAAAATCGACTTTGAATATTAATCTCGAACGCGTGCACCTAACTTTGTCTTGCTAGATGGATGAGCCATCACTATACTAGCATACTCGGTACATATTCAAAGTCGATTTTCTCGACAGCGAAGCTTCAAATAAAAAAATGTTATTCTTCATTTTCGATTTATCTTTTCACATAGAATCACCCCACTCCCGGTTGTAATGCCATTAGTGAGACACCCTATATACGTGGCATTACAGGCTTAAGGACCCTAAGAAGGGAAACAGATATAAAAGCGAAAGCGGAGCGAATGAGTGCGTGGTCTTACTTTTAACTCACAGACAGTGCATGGGAACACTTGGGCCATTCCTCGAAAACGAGTAACAATAAACAGAGATCTCAGGTTCGGCTCCAGTGTTTCGGTTATTATCTAAAGTGCGTGCGGAAGGACGAGAGTAACCACGTGCAAGGATTGTATGGACGGAATATTTATGGCAGTGTCGAATACTTGTGAAGAGTGAAAGTCTAGGAAAGCGTCTGAGTTTTGGGGGTACGTGGCCCACCGAGGGCGAAGTTGCGAGTTCTGAGGAGCGAATTCAGTAAGTTGCGAGCAGCCAGTGTGCGCTTAGCTAAGAATTCACAGACACGTGTGCTAGAACGGTCCAGTATCTCTGTGACAATTGCCCGACGACGTGTGTACCACGTTGTTGGCGATTCTGCGACAAAAGCATTACGACGTGCGTGGCACGTCTTTCCAGCGCAAGTGGTCAAGGACAGTTTAACGCGAGAGTTTAACAAAAGTGTTTGAGGATTAGTATTAGCGTTATAGTGGTATGTTAGGGATGACTGTCTCTATTCTAGAGAATACCCTCTACTCGTGATTTACAATACTGTCAATTTTATTATTTACACTAACAATTCCTGTGACAAATATTACACGTGATTTACGTCTCTGTTATATTTTGATGATTATTGATCTAGAAAAAAAAATAAACGTCAAGAAAAATGAATGAAAGACACGTAAACTGAGAACAATAGGTATACATTTTTGAAATCTATATTGTTGCGATATTGTTGCCCAATGTGTACTCGCAATATATGTTTTACTGACAATGCTTTTCAGAAATCTGGTAAAGAATGGACCCAGGGCACGGCGCGGTAAAGCGGTACAAAGAGCACCGTCCCGTCTATATAGAACAGTGGGTGGACCGGCGAGATCCTTCAACAAAGCGCAATGCATTGGCCCTGAATTTGTAGTGCGTGCCAATCAGCCACCAAAGACGCTATGTGTCGGCCAAGCAAAGGTAATGATATATTTATTTTGCATGTACAGTAATACTGCGATTTATGAAATATTTCGATAAGAGTTTCATAAGAACATTTCTCGATGACAGTTAACAATTGTATTTGGTGTTAAATATATTGAATTTGTTAAACAAATGTTAGGAACGGATATTTTAGTATGATAGTGAAGAGATTTCTGATGTGATAAAAGAAAAAAAAAAAAAAATAATCGCCATTTTTCCGGTACCGGGAATCGAACCCGAGCCTCCTGGGTGAGAGCCAGGTATCCTAGCCACTAGACCATACCGGATGATGGCATGACGTTTTTCTGAACGATATAAATAGTCGGGCATACAATACCTTTAAACCTCTTTTATATGAATAAAAAATTATTTAAATTTGTTTAAAACAACGTCAAAATATAGTAATAATAATTCATAACTAATTTAGTTTACTTCATTCTCAACTCTTTGACGAATAAGAAAATACGTAAAGAATAAAATATTATTAAATTATTTATATAATTAAACAATGATTCTTTGTATATATACTTTATAGAACTTTAACTGAATTTTCTGTGCATCTTTGCTTCTTCTTATATGTATCATCTTACCATAAAAAAATCATTAAGTGTATTAATTACTAAGCTTCATATTTTATGTTAAATAATTTTTATATGTGTGATTGATAAATATTAGTGAATCCATTATCGATACTCTCCTTTTAGTATTCTCTGTATTTTTATCATGCTGTTGAATACCATTCTGACTCTTGATTATTTTACATATTTCATTATTCACAGTAATAATAATTAATCATGTATGCATTAGTATGTTTACATTTATTTTATTCCAAATGCATGTATTAAAAAAGGAAAAAAAAATGCAAAAATAACTTTTCCGGTACCGGGAATCGAACCCGAGCCTCCTGGGTGAAAGCCAGGTATCCTAGCCACTAGACCATACCGGATCTTGTCAACCATTTTCTTAAAACAGTTATTTTATTACTATCTAATAATTCAAATTCATAATTATATAATAAAAATAAAAAATAAAACGGGAAAAATAATAATGAATAATTTTTCTGCATTCTAAGTTACGGGGGAGAATCTATGTAGTTGCAAAGAGACATTTACTTCAGAAACTGTCGAACTACCTACTCGTAGATTATCCTCAGTAAAGTATCAATCAGCCATTTGCCAAAATCTATAGTACTCGTGATCAAATACGATCTCGTGCAACAATCAAAATCATTCAACAGCCCTTGTTTCAGAAGTACGTCCGTTGAATACTCTTCGACAAAAGTGACACAACTCACCAATCAAATGTATATTTACAAACCCGCTGACATAGCTCGACCTATCGAAAATTCACAAAGCAGCATAATTCCTGATCGGTTTAGACCGAATCCCATTACGTACGGACTATAACAAATCAAATTCTCTTTACGTCAAGTTTCAAATTTACATTGTTATCGTAATTTACCAATAAAATTTATGCTCTTTCTTAAAGACCATAAACATAACCTTAATTAACATTGCTATCAAAGATGGTGGTATGTTGAAATATTAAAAACTAGAAAATTATATGAAAATTTTTAACAATTTTAATGGATACCTACAGAATATTAAAACAAATTACATGTAGAAGCGTTAATATTTAGAATGGTTATTGTAAGGAACGACGAATACACTAAACAATCATCAGTGCGAATGATGAGCGTATCTAGTGGACGTTTAGGTTAAGATTAGGCAAGAAAGATGAATGGCTTCCTAAAATGTAGCCTATGCAATTTTTGGATGCATTCTATGAGTGTATAGTGTTTGTGTGAATGAAAAAAAGGTGATTGGACGATGAAGCAGGGAGGCATAGTATCAAGAGTCATAACAAAGAGCAATCGTAGTGTCGGTAAGTCAGAGAATCAAACAGTCATAGACTTAATGTAATTATTATTATTATTATTTCCTTTTTGCTCGTAATATATTTTAGAATCCAACACCTCTTTCTTCTTTCCAATTTATATTCCCTA